AGCTTTATTGATTCCAATAAGAACTAACAAAAAATATTCTTATCCTAGGAATCAGCTTATCTATAACAAAAAAGACAACAATTATCATTCAGGATGGTCGCGCTTCAACATAGATATTTACGGTATTTTTAATAGGTATATCACATGAAAGAAACGAGTGCACAAGTAATATTTTATTTTCTACTAGCTGTACCTTACGTGTGTTGCTGCGCCTCTCCTAAAACAGTTGTTTTAAACTAACCCAAGCTTTACGCTTAAAATCTATACCACAGGAATTGTGCATTTTTCCTGGATGAAAAGTAGTCCATAACACTCCCCTTTAGATAGACTACATGGTAGTTATAAATTTCAAGGAGATCGCTTCAGCAGTGTCCGAGTCTATAAAAAACGAACAAACAAACAAACAAACATTGATTTTTATATACATATTAGATTTCTTACCTAAGTATATTTAAGGTTTGCAAGAGAGTGTGAGACACCGAAACATAATGCTAAAGATCCACGTATTTTATGACAGAGATGTTTTGCAATTTTTGACTTTCGAACAATATATTGTGCTGAACGCCGTTTAAATTTTTTTTACCTAAAAACATGTAAGATGACTTTTCAACATTAGCGGTCAATTTGTGAGACTTAAATCAGATATAAATAACTACAAATGTCATTCATTATCGTTTCTACATCTTGACCATAGTACACTAGTGTTGTATCATCAGCATAAAGCTTTATATTATCTTTTAATAATAGTTTCCCAATTGAGTTTATGTAAATTAAAAACAAAGTGGGACCCAAAACTGACCCCTGAGAAACCCCGCATCTAATTACTTCTAAACTGCTGTTTACACTATTCACATTGAAATAATGTTTCCTATTTAGTAGATAGTTTTCAAACCAAAGGTAAGGAATTCTCCTAATACCAGCCTCCTTTAATCTTATTAACAGAATACCATGATCTACTGTATCAAATACCTTCTGCAGAGATACCAACGAGCAGGTAAGTCTCTGATCTATTTTAATTTGAAGATCTGAGATAAGATCCAACACAGCTGTCTCTGTGTCTCTGCCTTTGTAGAAGCCATATTGACCCTTACACAAAAACTCATTCCTAATAAGAAAATATTAAAGACGTTCATTTACACAGATTTCCAGTATTTTAGAGAATACTGGAAGGATCGATACCGGTCGATAGTTTGGAGCTAATTCACAATCTCCTTCCTTGAACAAAGGTTTTACTCTTGCTATTTTTAATTTGTCTGGCACTACACCACTATGTAAAGATAAGTTAATAACTTTTGTTAAAATAATTGATAGGCACCACATTTTTTAGTTGCTGAACACTGTCCACTGTGATACCCTCCACTCCACAAGCCTTACTTTTGTCCATTAAACTGATAATGTTCTCTATTTCAATTGCTGTGACTGGGGAAAAAAATAATGTGTCTCTAACACTGTCCAATTTACTTACTGATAAATCTGGGCCTATGTTGGTAAAAAAATGATTAAATGAATTTGATATGTTTTTTGGATTAGTCAGCAGAACATCATTTTCTTTTAGTGATGAAAGTAAATTATTGTAAGCATGTTTTTTAGTGTGTATTCTATTCACTAAGCTGTCCTCCACGTTTTCCTATCATCCCCAAGACTTCTTCTGAATTCAGCTTCATAGTACCTTTTTTTCTCATATTTGATTTGCTTCTTCACTTTCTCACTGTACAGGGTGTTTTTTTATATATTGACACTTGATATTCCACCTACAGCCTTTACCTTTACAGGTAGAAGAAAGGTGTAAATACAAAAGTTGTACAGTTTTGACTGAATTTTTTGAAACCATGGTCAGAAACAAAATTTGAATGTCAGAAATGTAAAATTTTGCATGTTTCCAGCTTTTTTCAAATGGGATGCCCTAGTTGAACTTTGCGCACTCATTTTTGTTATGCATAATTACCATAGTTATACCTGATTTTTCAATGTTTTGATGGTTTCTGAATAAACTAATATTCAAAATGAAGCGTTTTAGTTGAAATTAGCGCGCTTAGTTAAGATGATGTTTCCTATCAAAAGTGTCCAAATTGGACCAGCCTACTGGGAATTTGTAGAATTTTTGATATTTGAGAGACTCTCATGAAAATATTCTAGGAATTCCAGAAGATGTTTAAAGATTTTTGGGGATTTAATTTAAAAGATTCTGAGGATTCCAATAGATTTTAAACGATTTTTGAAGATTTTGATTTGATAGATTTTTCTAATATTTTAACAATTCAAATCTACTTCTTGTAACTTCTTTAAGATACTCGTAGAAAAAATATTGTTCCTAACACTTGCGCAAAGTGTCTTTCCCGCACTCAAAGCTTATCCGAACTCCGCTTCGCGTCGTTCGTCTAACTGCTTTTTCGTGCGGGAAAGTATCACTTTGCGCACTTGTTAGGAAAATAACTATTGTAATCTATTCTACCTATACAGGTGAAAGCTGCAGGTAAAATTTGAAGTACTTGGTTACTCTGATAGTATTTTTAGAATATTTAGAACCAACCATATGTTGGAGACGGCTCAACCAAATATAGACAAACTATATAGGTAGTTTTAAATCGGGAAATTGTGCTCATCAAGAATATAGAACCAAGAAAGGGCATCCCATTTGAAAAAAGCTGACAATATTGATGAGTAGATGACTGCGGAACTCGCTGCGCTCGTCCCGCGGAGGTCCACCCATAAGTTCCGCAACAATTTACTTATTTGTACTTAAATAACTTGTCACATTATGTTACTAGTTTGGTACCTACAGTCTTCACCTTTACAAATAGATGAAAGGTGTAAATACAAAAGTTGTACAGTTTTGGCTTATTATATAAAGTCAGAATTTGTAAGATTATCCACTTTTGGTCAATTAGCCTTTTAACAGGAATTAGTAATGTTACTTTACCAAACTAGTAATATATTGTGACAAGTTATTCAAGTACAAACGGGTGGATTGTTGCGGAACTTATGGGTGGACCCAGCTATCTATTCACCAATATGTTGTTCAAGTACGATACTATCCTGACTCACTCAAATGTGAGTTATTCTCATTAGTTTGAAAAGTACACGTTTCAGGTGTCTTATTTGAACAGTTCAACAGTATATTGGTGAATAGATGGCTGCGGGACTCGCTGCGCTCGTCCCACAGAGGTCCACCCATAAGTTCCGCAATAATCCACTTATTTGTACAGGGTGTTTTTTTTTTACATTGACACCCCACCTACAGCCTTTACGTTTACAGGTAGAAGAAAGGTGTAGATACAAAAGTTATACAGTTCTGGCTGAATTTTCAGAAACCATAGTCAGAAATGTGAAATTTTGCATGCTTCCAGCTTTTTCCAAATGGGATGCCCTATATTTCATTCTATATTCTTGAAGAGCACATATAGTATTTTTAATACCTATTTAGAAGTACCAGTCGTTCTAGTGACAAAACGTATGTCGTTTCTTGACACAGAAATAAAATTAGGTTAGGAATTTCTGATTTGTACATGAAATTGACGTATTAGCAATCGACGTTCGTTTTTGTTGGTAATTTTTTGTTTCATCTGATTCGTGATTGATAAATAAGGATGGAGTTAATCTAAATGGGTATTACAAATACTATACCTCGATCTATATTTGATTGAACAATCTCTCATATATTCGGCTTCAAAAATTATAAAAATACTATCCTACTACTGATTTTTTGAACTATTCTACCTGTACAGGTGAAAGCTGCAGGCTGCAGGTAAAATTTGAGGTACTTGGTTTCTTTGATAGTATTTTTAAAATTTTTAGGACTTAATATGTTGGAGACGGCTTAACCAAATATAGACAAACGATATAGTTTTGGCATTGGGAAATTGTACTCTTCAAGAATATAGAACCAAATATAGGAAATCCCATTTGAAAAAAGCTGAAAGCATGCAACATTTCACATTTCTGACATTCAGTTTTTGTTTCTGTCCATGGATTCTAAAAATTTAGCCAATACTGTACAACTTTTGTATTTACACCTTTCATCTACTAACTCTTGTAAAGGTGAAGGCTGTAGGTCGGGTGTCAATATATAAAAAAACACCCTGTACTCTTTATGTTTTCTTTTATAGTATTCATTTCTCTTCTTTTTCAGTTTTTATAAATAATTGTCTCTTTTTTTCACCAATAAAAGACTTTTCTGACTGCTCCACTCGTTTCCAGTGACCCTGCAGACTTCCTTAACCTAAACATGCCTATTTTCTGTGAAAAATTCTTCAAGCTGGTCGTACAATGCAACTGGATTGGTGATTGTAGATTCTGGGTTAGCTTCAAAAGTTGCTTCTGTGCCTCTGGATAGTCTCTATGTTCTGGAACACCTTATACTTTTTTTTCTGCTTTGTTATATGGTTGTCTTGGTTTAGGTAATCCTAGGACTTGTAATCTATGATCGCTTATGCTGTGATCTATTATTATTGACAATTCATTATTACTTTCAAAATTGTATACAACCATGATACAACATGGTCGATTTGGATTTGAAATAGCGCTTCAAGTTTTAACCTTAAATCACTTCGCAATCGCTTATCGCTTACTCAAGTACCTACTGATTACTAAGATAACCAGAATCTACCTAAAAACAGCCACCATGAATAATTCCTTAGAAATGTCTAATATATCTAGAATCTTCCCTACTGTTCCTACTGAGTATTCACAGAAGAGACTGCCAAACATATTTTAACTTATGAGAGCACCATATATTTGCTGTAAATTTGTCAATCCCAATAGCAAACTTTTTTTGACTAGTATTGCTATGTGTAAAAGTATGTATGGTATTTACCTTATTAAATTAAGTGTAGTCATCTCTATGCATCTCTTGATAGGTACTGGGAATGATATTGGTTGTTTTCAGTAAGAAATATCAAAACTATAAACAACGCGCTTTCATTGGTGCTTTGATACTTTCTAAAACTACACAATTATAACAATTTCAACAGAAGTTCTAACCCATTTTCTTCTCTTCCAAGATGAGCAGTGAAATAATTGTATCGGAAACTCCCAATTGGCTAAACGACTTGGAAGCCAAAAGAGAGAAAAGACTAAAAGCCAAACTTGGTCACGAAGCTGGCGCCGGTGCACCTTGTTTGAAATGCGAAGATAAGTGTCCAGGACTGGATCTTCATTTCTGGCGAAAAGCCTGTAAGGTGTGCCGTTGTCCTAAAGAAGACCACGACGTTCCAGACGACGATATCTATGGTTGGGCACAGTTTCAGCTTCTTGGCAGCAAACCAAATAAAATCAAGACCAAAATTGGTAAGGCATCTTCCTAATTTTATCACTCCCTCTCGCGGGTTGTTCTCAACATGTCAATTTTTTCTTAAAACGAATATGCTTCATTTCTTCATTATTTAACATATGATAGCCGATATTATTAATTCTAGCAAATTTGGCAGCCAGAAACTACCTCATTCAAAACCTATATGCCCTTCAATTTGTATGAGTTTTATTTACAGTTGTCAGAGATGTTGCCAAAGCGTTCTAACTTTCTCTTTTTAATGATAAATAGTATCTCTACTTCTTTTTCCATTTGTAGATTGGCCTGTATATTCAACATTGATTTTTGAACTCCTGGAAAAATCTAAGTAGGTACATATTTGTTTGTGCCTGAAGTAGAGAAGCATTATCAGAGAGATTCTCCATCAGATTGGTGCGATCAGTGATCTTATGGACGCGTAACAAAATTCAAGGATGTAAACTTGAATCCAATTCGTCAACAGTGATTCACAAGTTCTGCTTCATTGTAATAATTTTTGGCTATGTTTCTTAAATAATATAGACCACATCTTTCCATCACACAGATTTGCAGAATTGAGTAATTAAATTTCGTCTAATCCCATTATATTATTTTATCACAATTTCTATTATAATGCCCAATTGGCCCAATTTGTTGATGTAGCATCAGTATAGTCTTCGTACTCTAGAAATCCAGTAATCCAGTGATCTGCCAACTTAGGATGTGTTGATCAGTCCCTTTACACCAGATATCCAATCTCATCCATTTTTCAACAGGTGCAAATGAAGCAGAAGTGTTCAGTACCTCTATTACATCATGATATAATATATATTCTTGGCTGGTCAACTGGTCATTCGTTCCAAGAATGCATGCCCACTGTCAGAGATAATCTCTAATATGACAGTAATAGGCAAAATCGAGGGGTAAATCACTCATGGAAATCACTGTACAATTTGCTGGGAATATTTTGGGAATACCTAGGAATACTTGGTAATAATCTAGAAATACTTAGGAGTACTTGGAAATACTTTGGAAGTATATGGGAATACTCTGTAAGCAGTTTCATTAAAATCTCAAGAATTGCGTGCATGTTCATTCTGGTTCAATGTTCCACTTTGTTCTAGTTAAGTGTTCCAATTTTTTTTGGTCAACTGTTCCTAATTTTGAGGCAACTGAAAAATAATAAAATAAGAAACCTATTTTCTTTGTAAGTAATCTATATCTCCATTTCTGCATGGTGTTCAGCATAGTTGACAGTTCTTCTTCTACTTCATTTATATTTTTCCACCACTTTATCCTGTGGATTTTGGGATGTCATAGAAGACAGCACCATTGATTAAAATCCAATCTTCTGTCACTTTTTATGAGAATATACTTTGTAAAAGTAACAAACATATGTATCCGGCGGCGTTCGTTCTACTACATGCAAGGTTTAATGAGACTCACTCGTAACGGATTTTTATGCGTGGGAAATTCAAATTTCAATAATAAGCCAAAAACTAGGTTACCTTGCTGTTACAGTTAATCAAGTTGACCTTACTTGGAAATACCGGGGAATACGAAAGGGAATACTTGAAAATACTGTGAAAATTTGAGAAGTATTCACCGGAAACTGGGAATCACTGTACGTTTTTTCGTGAGTGGTTGACCCCTTGGGTATAATACAACATGCTACAATGCTAGCACAATATAACCTACTACCATGCTAATATTTAATATATTTCCATGTTTATGAATAAGATATCTACTTTTTTGTAACTACCTTATGTTTAGTGTTACCAGGAAAAAATGACGAAGTCGAATTGGAATGGGCACCTAAGGGACATAAGGACACTGTGGACAAGTATTTGAAAACTCTACCTCCTGAAGCTTTGCCAGTTAAAGGTAACATCTGCTAAAAATTGAATACAAAGAAATAAACAGAAATCAGTATGATTTGCAAATCCTACTATTTTCCAGAAATCTTAACATAAATCTCTTTTTCTCAAATAGGGTCCCAAGCAGCTCAAGAACGTAAACAGCAGCTCCAAAAACAAATCCCAGTTCACGACATTGACCCTGCCCTCTGTCATGAACTCAACGAAGATGAAGTGGCTAAAATGGAGGATTACATTGCCCATATTAAAAACAGCTCTGTAGGTGTGGGACAGATTGTTAATTTGTCTAGTGTCATTAAAGGTAACTGTGTATTTTAATTCACTTTCAGAAATACTTATAATACCCATTTTAGCTAATCTATACAACATAAGTCCAGAAGAAGCCCATATCATAGCCAGTCGTTATTCCAAAGGTGTACCACTTAGCGAAATTATAAAGCTCCAAGCTGGTTTAGCTAAAAATCTAGAAAACCTAACTTTGAAAAACAAGGCACCATTGCCTAAAATGCAGGAAAATACCAACAATATTATAGAGGAAAATTTACAAAATCCTCTAACTGCAAACAAATTCAAAGATGTCACCCATCCTTGGTATGCCAGTGCAAGTCCTACTAAAGGCGCTTCCAATTCTCAGTATTCTGAAAAATTAAATCCAAAACATGCTGCGATTGATGAAAAATTATTGCAAAAAACTAATTTTGACCCTTCAAAGACACCTAGCCAATTTTTAGGCTACAACACCCCAGGTCATAGACCAGATTTGCCTCAATATGGTTTTGAAAATCCATATTTTAATCAACCAGAATATTTTCCTAACAAACATGAAATACAATCGGACCCTCAGTTTGCAAAAGCTCCAAAAAGTGCCAAAGATTTGATTTATAGCATGTATGATCCTAGTGAGGGGCCTGTTCCTAAAGACCAAGGCAAAAAATTGATAGATCAGAAAATATCTGGTGGATATAATCCAAATGAAACATTAACAACTTACAAACATGGACCAGCAGTGAGAGGATTTGATCCTGAAACTGAAAAATATAGTCCAGAAGATTCTAGATATCCTAAAGAAATCACTAAAACTGGCAAATATGTTCATGATGATCCTCAGCTAAAACATCATGGTCTTCGGAGGTTTGATCCAGTTACTGGAAAATATATTGTTGAAGATCAAAGAAATCCCCAACTCATGACAGAAAAAGGGCAGATATATGGAAATATGAATAATCCAGAACTTCATGGTGTTACTGATTTTCAATCTGTGACTGGCAAGAATCCAGCATTAATTCAAGGAAATACGTATGAGCCTGAAACTGGCAAAAATTCTTATGAAGATCAAGAAAACCACATTAGGTTTAAGCATAATGGAGTTCCTAAATTTGACCATGAGACTGGAAAATACATTTTTGAAGACCAGATACATGGACAAAGTTTTGATACAAAAACTGGAAAATATATGCCTGAAAATCAAAATATTCCAGAAAGTGTTAAGCCTTCAGAAATCTTATCCAAGCATCGTGGTGTACCTAATTATGACCCAGTAACTGGTAAATACATATTTGAAGATCAAAGGGATCCAAAACTGTTACAAGGTAAAACTTACAATCCCAAAACTGGCAAGTACTCATCTGGAGATCCACAAGGATCCGCATTAGGTCATCATTCTCTGCGAAGGTTTGACCCTATAACTGGAAAACATATTTATGAAGATCCGAGACATCCAGAGGAACTTTATGGAAATGTTATTATTGATCCAAAAACTGGAAGATATTTATCTGTTGATCCAACAAATCCTGGTGATTCATCAATTTCTGGTGCTAAAAATTCAATGTCCACATTGCATCCTGGCCATATTAATGTCCCAGAAGACTATTTAGAACCCCACATGGTCAATATAGGAGCAATTCAAGACATAAATCCAGACATCAGATCAGCTACAGCTGAATTAAATCCAGGTTTTCTAAATGCAGATGAAGAAATTAGTGGTGATTATAGTCCTGAAAGTATTCGAGAAATTTTAAACAACATCAAATTGCCTGATTGTCATCATTGTAAAAAGCCATTTGACGAAAATGAATTTGCTGTAACCATTGATAGAGCCAATATGCTATTTCATTCTCAATGTTTTAAGTGTGCTGGTTGTAACCAGAGCTTGGCTGATAATATTTACTTTTACGACAAAGAGAGCAATAATGTTTATTGCGGACGAGACTATGCCAAAATCCGTGGTATTCCCAGATGCTCTGCCTGCGACGAACTTATTTTCACCAAGGAATATTGCCTGGCAGAAAATGCAACTTTCCATCTAAAACATTTTTGCTGTTTCCAATGTGATATCCCATTAGCTGGCCAAGAATATACTTTGGAAGAAGAGAAACCTTACTGTTTGCCCTGTTTTGAAACTTCCAAGGCTGCTAGCTGTGGTACTTGCGAAAAAGTTATTAAACCGGATGAAGTTGGCTGTCAATTGAATGGAGTGCATTTTCATGCTGAAGATAGATGCTTTAGGTGTATTGTCTGCAGTGTGCCTTTGATGGGGAAAAAATTGTTACTTAGGAACGATAAGTTGTATTGCTCGCACGAGTGTTTTAATCAGGGTAAAAAAGTGCCATTTAACTGCTAAACCTCTAAATTCCACACTTTTTAACTTCCTTATTACTGTCGTGATTTTTTGATAAATTATTTACTTTTGGTGGAAACAACATCTTCAACCTTTTCTTTGATGAAGTTGAAGACACATTTGAGCCATATTAGTTTTACAAAAATATAATGTAAGTAAGTTTGTGATGGAGTTACAAGTATTAAATGTTAAATATATGTGATGATGTGCCTAGTAAACTTTTGCTAAATATATGTTAGTGAACCTATATATTTTATATAATATGTAATTAATAATAAGTATATTTGCTACTATGACAATATTTTTTATAGTAACAGCTTTTTGAAAACATATTTTTATATAACTGCTTACATTTTGTGCCTATAGAATAATTAAGTGTGCTAGTGGGATAATTCTAAAATTAGGATATAATTTACATACAATTAACATACATATTTGCTTTTTTTTATTCAGGGTCAGTAGGTATATTAATTAATAGTAAAAATTATATTTGATGGGAGCAATATTTTTATAATCAAAATATATTTTATACATATAAAACATTGTGTAACATGTAATAAATAAATTATTAAAAATGTATTGGCAATACAATACAAAAATATAATTGTTTTAGTTTGGGAGGGATGAAACTAGTGTGAGGGCTAGTGAGAAAGGGAAAAGAAAAATGATGATTTGAGTTGAGAAATAATTTGATACTTTGGGGTCAATCACTTTTTAAAATGAATAGATACCTAGAGTTCCTGAACGTTTTTCTTCGGCATAGAACAAATATTTCAGGAATCATGAATGTGTAAAGTCCATCGTTTTTAATCTGACACTTTCCGTATGAGGAGCGAGGGGGTGTTTCATATGGCAGAACAGGTGTGACGTCAGGTAACAATGCGAGTTCTAATGTAGGGAGCCACCAGGTCACATTCCTTTGGAGTATCATTAAAATTGACAGACAGGTAGGTGTATTTCGATACACCTTGCGGGCTAAAAGAAATACCTACCCCACTGTCAAATGCTCAATACCTACGCTACAAAACTTCTTGAATATAGAATTAACCATCCAAAAATGTCCCATCCTGATTGTTAATTTTCTGATAAATTTAAATTACATATTTCTGTGTAAATTTAAATTTTAATAATTTTTTCCCACAGTTGAATAAGCCATTTATTTATGGATGTGGTCATATTATGTTATTAAAATAGAATAGGTGCACTTGTAAAAATATAAAACAAAATAGCTCGATTAAATATTCCAAAAATCAAATAAGTAAACGTTTCACAACAAAACTGAAATATATTTCTCTTAACAATTTAGATTATAATACTATTATTGATCCTACAATAATCAAGTCTTATGCTAGTACTTTGTAACTAATCAGTCTATTAATTGGGACAAATTTAAAAATGTATTCTTATTCTAGAGCAAGACAAGCAATTTTGAATAAAAAGACAAGAAGCTATTTAACGTAAAGAAAATAGAAAAACGGCTTTCTGAATATCAATAAAAAGTGCATTTAAATCAACATTAATATAAATAAATCTATGGATACAATTAAGAATTAAGTTGATGTACATTTTATGGGCAGTTTCCTTAATGTATTAATTCCCATTTTGGGTTGTTACGAATCAAAGATTTGTTGTAGGCATATAGTTTTCCTTAAAGCTACTCCGTCTACTAAAAGCAGGATTCAGGTCTCCAGAGTTATATAAAGGAAACTCGAAACTATTTAAAGGTTCCCATTCTAAATCTTTTTCATCGTATTCATACAATTTAGCTATATCTCTACGTAATCTGTCCATTTTACGTCGTTTCGCCATACAATAAACCTGTAAGTGGAAACTGAAATCATGGAAAATATTGATCTAAGACTTACGAGCAACGATAATAACATAACTACAACAATAACAACTAAAGGCACGATCAAATATTTGGCATCGTCTCCTTCAAATTCGGGTTTTGCAGTGGAAGTCGTTGTAACATTTGGTTCTTTGGTGATGGAAGAAGAAATCTCTGGAAATATCATCATCGGCTACATAGTAAATTTCGAGGTGAATTTGCATTTTTTCCGGTAGAGAGCGACTACTGTGTCAGGATTTAACAAGTCAGTATTCTCAGCCCTTCCTTACATTACTTTTGTCTATGGTTTTTTTAGATTATTCAAATATTATTAATATTTTGAGGTTGGGAAATTATTTATTTTCTCTCTTCTATGGAGGTGCAACGAAGATCGATATGTTGTCTATCAAAAAATTGATAATTATATCGATGTGTTCACATTAGTTGTATTCCTTTCACACCTAGGAGGAGCTTCACGCGCTTATTCCTTTCGAAAAGTTTTTGTTGCACCACGCATATATTCACTGCAAATCGGGGGCGACTCGGCGACTAAGCACCGAAGCGAGTAGCTCGAGTGTTTCAAGCTCTTGAAAGGAATACAACTATTACTGTCATGCCTTTTTCGGGTGGACGGGACGGTGGAGTTGGTGGACCAATAATTTGTATTATTGTAACGTGTTGTTACCACTGATCTCAAAGTTGTTACTCTGAAAATCCCGCCAAAAGAAAACATGTTTTCTGTTCATTTATGTGGTGTGTCCAAAGGGTGTGCCCCCCCCCCCCAATGAGGTGTACCATTAATTAACAATCTAATACAACCCTTTTTCAGATCTCGTTTTCTTCTTCCTCTTTGCCTATTATGTTAATCAAAATTAAATAAGAATTTTCCTCATAAATTTAAATTCTAAACTACGACCGCTAGTGCAAACAGCGGACGACTTAGTAATGACGTCGGAAATGGTGACACACCAATATGGCGGCCATTACCAAAAATGAGGCCGATAAACAATCCCAAAGTAGTGTGTTATATCCTTGAGCTTATCCTCATAAGTTGTATTCGTTTCACACCTAGGAGGAGCTCCGGGGCGTTACGCGCTTATTCCTTTAGGCGGTTACACACGGACGTGGATGTCTGAAAACATGTACGCACATACATGAACGTGCAAACAAAAACATCAATGTGTATACAAAATATCGTCGCGCTTTTGAATGTGCAATTTTGTATGCACACTCGGAACACTGTAGCAAGACTGCAGTTTTGTACGAGCGTGTGTACAAAAGCGCCATGCCACAGCCCCGGTTGCACGTTGATGTATGCACGTATATGTATTAAGACATCCACGTCCGTGTGTAACCGCCCTTTCGAAAAGTGTTTGTTGCACCCAATGAACTATAACCAAAAACTGGAATGCTAACACATAAGAGCCGCTTTCCAGTATGGGAGTGTGACGCCCGGAGCTACTCGGGGCTTGAGCCCCCGAGCTGTTCGTACGCGTCAACCTATCAGCTGTCACATCTGTGGGTGGCTATTTATCTATTTATTTCTCGTTATATCTCAAGATTGAACATTTTAAAATATATAGTTTTGATTCTCTTTCATTTATGATAAATAAAAAAACAAACTGCACAAACAAAAAGATAATTATTTTTAAAATTTGACATATTTGACACTAACACAGGCGTCTCACGCCATGATACTGGAACGGTACAAATCTAGTGCGTGGCGCCCCCGAGGTGCTCTGGAGCGCGCCAATGTGCATACTGGAAAGCGGCTAAGGACGAACTTGAAGCCTAGTGCGGCTGGTGCGGAGGGGATACCTGTTTTTGTCGCCCTCATTATGTTGAATGGCGAAAATTGCTTCCAACACGTATTCCAAATGATGAAACCTGTGAAGGGAAATATGACAAAACTTTCGAACACGTCATATGTCAGCGAGCAACAGAAAAAAACAACATTCCCCCTTGTGGCATCTGTCTTTCATGGTGTGATGATCCAGAAATTTGACCCTATAATTACAAAGTCTTTACTGTAAAAATTAAATAAATAATCAAACAATCAAAAACTTAATTCCGGTATTTTTAAATCTGTGTCGATAAATTAAGAAATAAAAACCAACTAAGCAATCGTATAGCGACACCCGGAAGTCGTTCATCTAAATTAAATTCTTAAAAACTGATAAAACCGAGGTGGTGTCATCCTAAAATCCGATTCAATGAACTTTATTTAGCCAAGGCCTTTCCGTTTAACACACATTGAGTCGAATGAATTATGGATTCTTGAACCCAAAACGTCTTGACCTCAATAAATCAGATAATTGCGACATAATTAGTCGATTTTTGGGCTACAAAAATGATATAATATTCAAGGAAATTGCATCATTCTTTTAATAACAATGAGGCCGTCCAATGAAATTCGGATTCCTAAGTTAACGACCGCCTATATTGACGATTTGGGGGAAATTTAATAATAATTTTGTGGGGAGAGCGATTTGATATAAAACTCGCGGAAGATAGTTCCCAGCCATCTGTAGAACAGCCTAGTCCAGTTGAAGAAAGTCTGCCCAGTTTCGCGAAAAGTTTCTTTTATGGTTTGGCCTCGGGTATAAATTAACTTAGAAAATTTACGGAAAATCGAGAAAGTAATAACAGTTGAAATTTCATTCAATCAATTATGTGCGTGAAGCTAAATATTTTGAGTAGTTAATTAAATAATTTTACGTGTGCTTTATGGACAAAATGTAAGTACTTTATAGTGACAAGATTTATTTTGATGAACATGACTTTGTGTGAAATTTTACTAGAAGTACTTTTGAATTTATAAACTTGAGGATTGCACTACTAGAAAAACTTTTGACTTTTAATTTAACAGTGGAACTTTATTACAACGAAATTAGTAGCTTGAGTGTTTTATAAATGGAACATTATTGCATAACTCAATTACCCTCAGACTTCAGATTTAATGACATTTAAATGTGCAACAAAAATATGAAGAGTACTTACAATACAATGCATTTAACAATATTCAGTTTTGAGTTGGAATTATGACTTAAACAGTTGGATTTATTAGCTAGGCATAGGAATCCGAAAATAGAATTTGTTCTGATAAACTATTAACGGCAATAGGAAATTTTGAAAAGAAAATTGATGACATAAAATAGAATTGTTTTCTTGAAATATTGGAATGTTGTTAAAAAGGAAACTTATACTAGAATTTGTTCATGAAATAGAATTGTCTTAGAATATGGGAAAGCTGTTAAAAGAATTTATTGTCCATGAAATGAATTTTGAATTAGGGAGTTTATTTTACAAGTGGAAGTTATTGTAAGATTTTATGAGAATAAATTAGTTGTTAAACAAATAGGTAATTATTTTGGGTTTTTATAAGTAATGGACTTAGAGATTTTAAGGAATTATTTGACTAGGTAAAGGGTAGTTATTAGGAATGATTTGGATGTAGTAAAATAAATAGAAATATTATTTTGAGAAATAGTATGAATAGAGCGTTTCTTATTAAGTAGGCATATTTCAGTGGTCCGTATAATAACAATATAGAACGGATGTGAAGTATTAATTTTACAGAATTAAAGAAGGATGTAAAGTATTGGGAGATATTTGGCTAATTGATTTTTGAGTTTTATGTGAAATAAAATATAATTTAGTACACCTCCTTAGTTTGTTTCTCTCTCTTGCAAATAGACCCTCTTCCACAGATTTTAGATAGCAAGCTCCAAGTACATATAAACACCATCAATATACCGCTCGCCATTTACCATCTAACTAATTTACATAGAGTACTTGGGGCGATATTGCTACATTGGTGTCAGTTGTGTGGGGTTGTCTATTATTTGTACATTGAGAGCAACTAAGAGGTTATTTTAATTGTATTGTGAAAGCATCGGTAGGGCTAAAAATAATTTTTGAATTGAGAGAAACTGTAAATTTTTTAGTTAAATTTGAGTTGAGATTAATCAAGCGACGTCAAAAATGTCCAACCCTTCGAGCCCCGTACCACAATTCAACACCACCATGCCTAACCTTTTTATAGGATTAGATTCCATACCTACCTATGATGGAACTACTAGTGCTGAAGAATTTTTAAATGTCCTAGAAGAAACCAGTATTTTAGCTGACTGGACAGACACACAGAAAATTTCAGTAGCTCGATTGAAACTGAGATATCGAGCCAAGCAGTACATAGAGTCAGAGCCAACCCTGAAGACCACAACAAGCTGGGCTCTACTCAAGGACAGTTTAAAAACTCAGTTTGGCAGGCATTATGTGAAAGGGACCGCTATGAAACATTTTATTGAATGCAAGCAACGAACAGGTGAAGCTTGTAGACAGTACCTTACTAGATTAAAGGTATTGGGGCACCGGACCGCTACATTCACCGGAAATCCAGCAACAGATAAATTGTTGGAAGAGAAATTGCTCGGGGACATTGCTACACAATTTACTCTAGGATTGTTGATGCCGATTAAACAACGTGTCCTCTCAGGAAATCCAGCAACCTTGGACGAAGCATTAGAAATAGCTGAGAGGGAAGAATCGATCGAAAATTTTCTGAAGCCACACAGTCGCGAATGCCGCGGAATTATGAATAAAAAGAAGACAGCAGGCCCAAGCCGTCAGAACCGTTGGAACCGAGAAACGCCACAAGCTAGAAAAATGGTGTGCTACAATTGCAACCAGGAAGGTCACGTAAGACCAAATTGTCCAAAACTAAAGGACGTGAACAGACAAGGTAACAGAGGTACGCTTGTTTGTTTCAGATGCCACAAGGAAGGGCATTTTGCTAAGAATTGCCGCACGGAAGTCGGCGCTTTTTCCCAGCAATCGGGAAATAGGCAGAATTTAAACTCGCACGCAGCCCCCTATCAACCCCGAGACGTGGCTGCCAACGAGGCAAGTTGGGATTAAATGAAGAGAAATGGGTAGGGATATATACATGCTCCAAGGTGAGAACCCCAGAAAGTTGTAATGTAGTAAGGATTAGGGTTAATGATAAGTCGTACCTAGCCTTAATAGATTCTGGAGCTGTAGTATCCCTAGTTAAGCCCGAGATTGCCAAGGGGTTCAAAAAGGAACAATGTAATGTAAATTTGGTGGATATACAGGACAATAAAATTCCTGTAAGAGGTATGGCAAATATACCTGTGGTGTTCGAAGGAGACATCGTTGTGAGACACAATTTTATTGTGGTGAATACAGATTCGTTAAGGGCAGATTTACTATTGGGAATAGATTTTCTGCGCCAATATGGTATTAAAGTAGATTGGCAGAACAACTGTATGTACGCTTTTGAGAAGCAAATCCAAATGTATGATGAGAATATT